TTCCCATCGATCACTAGGTCGCCGATTAGGTCACCCCCAGTAGCCAGTACCAGGTCGAGCAGCACTTTGCCTCTTGTTGGCCCACAGACTTCTTGAGTCAGGTAGAGGTCATCCACGCATGAGAGGAAGCTTTGCGACCGCTTGGATTTTGCTGAGTGATCCTCCCACGAGATGTCTGGGTAATTGAAGTAACCCATGACAACCATGGTCCTGCAGCATGCAGCCTCAGCCAGTTCCCGGGCGAACTCCTGGTCAAGCTTTGGGTGGGAGGTCTGTAGTAGACTCCCACCGTTGTGCCCCTGTGCTGTGTGCCCCTGTGCCATGTTCCCCACGAATTTTAACCCAGAGGGTCTTCAGTCATCCACCCTGGTTGCCAAGATCAACTTGCAGGGACATGTAGCTTTCCTTAAAATAGAGAGCTACACCCCCGCCCCTTTTATCTACACGATCCCTCCTGTACAGGGTATAGCCATCTATACCAGTGGTCCAGTCATGGGTGGAGTCCCACCAGGTCTCTGTTATCCCAGTGACATCATAATGATTTGCACTGGGCAGGAGGACGTGGTTCGTGGCCATTAAATAGTTGCTTCTACCCCTCACAATTATTCAGCATGATTTTACCTTTCCTATTTTAATTTCAAAGGAAACTAAGACCTTGCTTTAGAACTCATGGCCAGATAGGAGAGATGTTTGGGTACTTCTGATAAAGACAGTATGAATGTAGATAAAAATATTACACAGAAAAATGATGCCCTGACTTCCTGTTTCAATGCCACTATGGATACACTGACATCCTGTTTCGGTTTCCATCAAGCTTTATTCAAGGAACATTTTCCCCTTTGGTCAATAAATCTGGCTATTCAACACAAGAGAAATCACTATCCACCAAAGAGCAAATAGTGAGAGAGACATTAAAAAGAGCAGGTACAAGAGGACAGAAATGCTTGTAAACAGCAAGAGAACAACTGAAGCTAGAAGACGCGTTTGAAGACTGAAAAATATGGCAGGAATCACAGAGAAGTTTCTTTCACCAACACGGGCGAAACAGCAAGCAAAACCCTGAGGCTGGGGCTAGCCCGCCAGGACAGAGACAGCCGGCTGGCAAAGGGGGCTGGAGAAATTCCAGAGAGCTCGTGCAGACACTTCTGGATGAGTCTAGATGAAATTCAGCGGAGGTGCATATCTGCATGTACGAAAAGCACATACAACTGAAGCACCTGCATGATTATCCCTAACACTCCTAGTATAGCATAACTCCACCATCTACAAGGCAAACACGAGAGATCTGCTCTTTCTGTCGCAAGGCACGACCTTAATTTAAAAAAAAGAAAAGAAAAAAGCAAACAAAAATACCACTCCATTCATGCTGAAGAGCTGCCAATAAAGAAAACCCAGACCATATGTTTCACATCAATACTGATGCTCTTTCATGCTGCCATTAAGATTCCAATCCATATTAGCGCACGCTTTCAAAAGGAGGCAGTCATACAGAGCTACTGATTTGGAAACACTTGTAATGATTTAAGGCATAATTATTTTGAAAAAAGGTTGAGTATGTTGCTGGAAGCTGTAGTAATGGCTTTTGTAATACAAAAAAACAATATTAAAACAGCATTAGGGAACTGAATTAAAGTCACAAAAGCAAGAAATTTAAGGCTCCTGTTGTGAATGTGTATTGCAGGCTATTGTACGCCAAGGTCCCTGGTGTGTCAGCTGCAGTAACAGGGTGGACTGAGGAGCATTTTTTCTTCTTATCCCCACAAAGTGAGGAAGGCTGTTGTTGTTTTAACCCAGTGACTTTCAACCACGGTGCCACAAAATGTTAGCACAGTTAGATGTGCAAACAGGATTCGCCAGACAACCCAGAGAAGGGTGCCTTGAGTCTAAGCAGGCATCCATTGGGTCTAAAATGGTTGAGAACTACTGTTTTAACCCTTAAAATAAGATGTTTAGAACCCAAGTTGATGAGAAGATTTGATTTACCTAAATTAAGCTTCTACGTACTTATCCCAATGGATCTACTCTTAGTCTCCCTTTCCACCTCATTTCCTCCTTCCTCTGACCTTCCCAGAGCCTCCTCTACCTTTCTCACAGGCAGGCAGCATCCTGCTGTTATCCTCCTTCCAAGCTCATCTCATCATCCCATTCATGTCAGCTGCTGGCAATGTATTTGCTCCTCTTCACCCTAATTAAATCCTAAATGGGTTTTGCTTCTCCTAATCTGCAAAGTGAACAGGATTAGAGAGCAAAAGGCAGTAAACAATGAAAGGCTGGCTGGACGGGCATTCTTTACAGGGAACTCTGATACTGCAGTGAGGGGCACAGTATGAAAGCCTATGTATGAGAGACAGGAGGGACAGAGATGATTAGGACATACTGAAGGGAAAAGTCCTGTCTCCCTCCCCTCTACCTCCCATGCAGAATCCAGAAACACTCTTCTTTCTGGATCACTGACCATTAACAACACCACAAAACCCATAGGAAGTGGCTAGTCCTCAAAGCAGGGGGACACCTGAACACCCCTACGTGTCTAAGAGTTCAAAGTAGATCCACATTTAAAACAGGCTGAACATAACTTCCAGATCCATTCGACTGCACTGGCACCCAGATTGCCTCCACAGTCACTGGTGCAATGCAGTGTTGGTTTTCTTGTGCCACCTCCTGTCCTCCCCTTCAACTCACAGACCACCTCTGCACTGATCTTTAGGGAGAAGCTCCCACTAGGGCTGGGCAGCCCATCACCTTCCACATAGTCAGTGCTCAACTCTGGGTCACTTAAACTTGACCCAAAACAGGCCCTATGTGGGATATTCTCGCTACAACCCCAGTCAGCCACGTAAATTATTTAGACTATAAAACAGAAACCCTTGAAATACACAGCACCCCCCACCCCTTATTCCCCACCATTAATTTCCTCCTTACCCCTCTCCCAGTACAAAACAATCAGTACAGCTTATCTAATGATGTAATTACATATTAAACTGAATGTAGGGCACAAGCCTTCAAAATATGCTGCAGATTTCTGCAGGGAAATGAAATAACTGTACTACAGAAAACATGGGAGGGAAGCTGAGTATGTGGAAGCTGGGTCTGGGACACGGTCTGCCCTAGAGCTGGGCACAGAAATTGTTTCCGTGTTTTGGCGCCCAGGAAGAACTGGAGACTGTGGATGCTGAGAAAGGACTGATTTTTTTGTGCACTACCCCAGGGAATTTTGACAGCCACTGCCCCCTCTCATGATCTCTGCCATGACTTCCAGAGAAGGAATTTAACTTGATGTTTCCCCCAACATCCACATTCACTATTCCACAGTTTAAGTATCCTCTTAAAGGTCTCTTTCTGGCTGCTTGTGGATTAATGCAGCCATCACTGCATTGGTTACATTCACAGGTTGATGACTGTTTTTACTGGCCAACCCATAAAATCCAGGGATACAACTTTTTGTTAGTAGAAATGTTAGAGGCTGGAGTCCAACTATGGAGCAAATTCAATGGAAGAAGAGTTTTGCTGCAACTTCCTTGGCTGACGGGGTCTCCAACAAGAAACCGGGGCCAGCAGTGATGTGGACACGTTCCAACGGACGTGCTGGGAAAAGGACGAGGCGTTTATGGCTTCGCACATACATCATAAGCTGTCTGGGGTAGGTACCGTACTGTGTGGTTTTATAGAGCCTAGCACAATCATGATCGAGTCCTCCGGCAATTACTGGACTAAATACATAATACCCTACCCACAGCAATCTCTCCTGGGAAGTCCTACGTCTGCATGTCCTCCTCCACATAAAGTGTCTGCAGTCACTGCAGACTGGGCCAATGCCATTTTTCTACCTTGGAAAGCTGCCAATGCACCTAAGGAAAGATGTCTCTAACCAGCAATGGCCGGTGAAGCAAAAGAGTTTAACGTTTTGTGTCTTGGTATAACAGCAGAAGAAATTCCATCTCAAATTTCCTTCTATTTATAAGTAAAACCATTTTCCCCCTTTAATTCCCAGTCCTGTAAGCTCCCCTCAGATGCGAGTCACGCTGGGGTCTTTCCATTTCAAGCATCATCGTCAGTATTAAGCTTCTGTGAAGCAAATTTTGCATTCAGTGACATCCTGTGTAATCAAGTTGATTGCCAGAATCTGAGAGAACGTTGGGTTTTGCAGGTACAAATGAGAGTGGAAATGAGGATTTCAAGGCAGTGGGGTTGACTTGTGTCACTGTGAACTAAATTTGGATTTCTGAATTTTTATTTCTGGTGACGATGCAAGAAAATGAAGAAACCCAAGATGACTTTCTGAATCCGGGCTGAATTTAGAAACAAAAAAAAAAGTCTTCCCATTTGCAAAGTTAATCTAGAACGATTGAGATACAGTATCAGTGGACACCACAACTGTTATTTTTACCATAATTCTTTTTAGTCGGTTCTCAGAGCAGAACCGCACGTTTAACAATACTCTTGCCAAGGCCCTGTGCAGAATTCAATTGTGCAGCCACGTAACCTGCTTCACAACTGCCCTTTTTCTTGAATTTCGTGTTAATGTTTTTTTAACGGGCACTTAAATTTTGAGGCATAGTTCTCTCGTCCTCACAGTTGAAATTAAAAAAAACCCTTTGCGATATGAAATGAATGTAAATCAAAATGCAGACAGCTTGATACAATAACTCCAAAAGAAGTGTGAACTGTTCTACCGATTCTGCAAAATGTGTTAACTCCGAAGCCCAATCAGGCTATTTTAAATGTCAGCACTTTAAACTCTTCCATTTTTGAACATGTTACCAGAAACACTGAGCTAATTTGCCTATGCCACATCCCTAGAAAAAGTGACAAAGGGGCAAATGGTTGTGTTCAAGGCTTGCTAGAAGAATTAAGTCCCTCTCCAGATCTAAAATCAATTCCTGTCCATGCCTACGAGTGGCAGACAGAGGATGGGCATATCCACATTGTCTTGGGCTATGCCCAGAAGTGCTGCTGTGAAAAAAAGCCTCACCCACTCACTCTCACTTCATGTGCACCACGTCACCAAAACAGGACGTGTACCTGCTGTTAGAGTGGTGCTGGATGCATCCAGAATCGTTCTCATGAGCAGGCCTGAGGCCAAGCGCTAGAAAGTAGTGCTGGGTGTATGCTGTATGTATACCAAAAGACAGCGACAGCACATTTCTTTGGCCCATGCAGAGCAAAAAAGAGCAAAGAGAGTGAGTTTCACAACAGCACTCACTAGGACCATGTCTGACACGGCACAAACATGCCCAGGATGACTACAAGATTATGCAGAGATAGATATCTGCACTACCCTCAAACTAGCCAGCTTGACTATATGGAGCTGTCTAGCAGTGAGTTTTATCATAGGCTGATTTACTCTGCTTTTTGAAAACCAGGAATATTCAGAGTAGGGTTGGGTATTTGGCCAGTCAAATAAAGTTCAGTCAACTGACTAGTCAAATACTGGTCAAAAATAGTAAAAAAATAAAATGCCAATAGGTCCAATTTAATGCACAGAAAAAGCACAAATTTTCCATTAAGAAATGTGTCAAAAAATAAAAAATCATATTTCTGTCAAGAAAACTAAAAAAAATGTAGTGGGGGGGTGTTGACAAATTGTTATAATCTTTGACTGATCAAAAAATATGCAGTCAATTGACCAGGCAATTGGCAATATTTGACCAGGCCAATTGACCAGCTGGCCCACCCTAATTCAGAGAAGGACTAACGTTAGCTGCAAAGTTCAAGCCAGTGGTCACTGAGGACCAAGGGGTGAATTAATGTGTATTACATGGCTCACAATTCAAGTCTTTTCATGTGCTTCTGAGGAAGAGGAGAGAGGTGTGTAGAAACAGGAAAAGTTTTCATGCACAAGTGATCAGTTTGTCATCTCACCTGATACAATCTCTGAAAGTGAGGATTTGGAATTTTGCTTGTTTTAAATGTGTCAAATGTCTTGCCATCATCATCTTCATGGACCAAACTCATTGAATCAATCAGAGAGTCGACAGCAGACAACTGCTCACCTAAGCCAGCAATTAAACACAGAAAAAGATTGAACATGTGCAGATAGAGGTGTGCCTTTGCAATAAGTCACCCACGAAGATTCACTTCAGAACGTGCAATATTAACAGAGGCATTAAATGCTGCAGAATTCACTGGGGGGTTGTATTCCCTGGGGACAGAAATAGGATGATAATGAACATGGATAATGGACACAATAATGAAAATCCTACTTTGTTTAAGGACTACAATGTAAAGTTATAAAGCCTTTTTGTTTCGAGAAGCCCTCCGTTATTACTGCTTTTCTGCTTCCACTTTTCTTCTTTTTCAAGATGTTTTTATTTGCAACAGAAGGTTTATAGACTGCTTGGAAAATAAGAAGAACAGTTGGCATGGAGAACTCAGCTGAGTAATGCAACTTTTAAAAGTTGTGATTGTAAATAAACTCCGTTCACAATAGTCAATTATTGCTTGGTAAGATGCAGTGTTAAATTTCTGCTCTCAAATTCCCCATTACAAGCCAGCAACCCCAAACTGACTCAGGAATAACCGCATGCTTTATATGCTGACTGGTAGAGCCCTATTCATTTTCTGAGTGCAGCACACAACAAAGAACAGGTCTGAGCAGGGATGCTCCTGCCTGGAGCAGGGGGCTGAACTAGATGACCTTGTGAGGTCCCCTCCAGCCCTACAACCCCAGGTGAAACAGAGTCTGTACTACACAGTACATCCATTTACTAATGCTATGACAGACTGATTGGACAACGCACCAAACATTACGCAGCCACATTTTCTTAGGAGCCTCTGAATGTAAATACTCGCACGTGCACATGCTCCTTCAGCACTACCACCAGCACACAACTTTAAATGCAGCCTTTGCATGCAGAGGAGTGTGTATGTATAGGCAGCTGCCGGACAACCTCGTGTGGAAGGAGCTGGTGATTCTTGGTCTAACTTGTGCAGCACATGGATACATAACAGGAACCTGATCATAACTGATGACTGTTTACAGCCTCAAAAGAGAAGGCAAAAACTGTATAGTTGTGGTGGATTAATTAAACTTCCCCAGTAGCACAAAGAGGTATACAGGTGATCTCTCTTAACTGGCAATCATTTAATCTGGGCCCAGTTTTGTCCAACAGCATGGTGTTGAAAGGTCATAGGCAATCCTCCAAACCATTCAGTGTGCAAGCCATCTCCAAAGTGTTGAATGGTCTTTACTTTGGGACACTACCTGGCCACGATTCATGCACAGGAAGGCTGCTTTGTTCAAACCAAAATAACCACGCACAGTTCATGGCTTCAGGGAAAACGGAAACACTCCAACTATTCTGAAGTGTCCTGCAGAGAGGGACGGGGCTGCAGGCAATCGGAGATGCAGCGAGGGACTAGCTCACCTGTAGGAGTGCACTTCTTGTTGTTTTTCAAGGAAGCAAACATGTACTGTCTTATGTCTTCCATATAAGGCAGCTGAACATATATAAGACACTAAAAAAAGAACAAAGCAAAAAGCAACTGAATCCAAAGTAAAAAAGGTAAAGTTTGCCCTAATACAAAAGTCAGTACAAGTGCAAGAAAATCTCATCTGTATCAACACTAAGTGGAAAAGTCACTGTATCATTATTATTTTCTAAAACATAAGGACATTAAATAACGTTTTGGTCATGCTGGCTATCTATTAAACCTCCGGGGTCACTGGGCCCCTGATCCTGCTGTTTCGGGATGGCTTGTTGCCAAGAGCTCTGTCCAGTTTAGTTTGAAATATCCCAGGCAAGAGGATTAGCATCAGTTGCCTATAAGGAACTATTCTATAGACTCCTGTGCCTCACCATCAGCAAGTTGTTTTTGACATTTTTAGCCTAATTTTTCCTTTATTCCTATCCCTCCTCCAGCTCCTACCACCCTAAATAATCCCTTTCCATCCTTCATGTTTATACCCTTCAAAAACTTGAAGACTGTTATGTCCGCCCCCACCTTAGTCATTGCTTAGCCAAGATATACATACTTAGCTCTTTGAATAGTTTCTCATAAGTTAGATCAGTGGAAACATATGCTGCAGAAGTTCTGCAATGTTGTGCAGCTTTTAGAGTCTCAGTGGGGACTTTATTTTTCTATTTAAAACGTGATTTTGTTGGACATGAACCGTTCATTAAAAACAGAACACATTTTCTGCTCTTCTGGAATCAAAAGGAACCGTCCCCACGTAAAGCAATGCAGTATTGTTCCCCTGAATCTGCAGACAAATATAAACAGGGCCTATGAGATGTGCACTGCTCCACTGAACAAAATGGAATGTCAACTCCAAAACCAAATGACGACAAAATTAAACGCTAGCTTTTACACTGCAGACTACTTTTGCATAATAATCCCACTAGCATGCTTCCCTCCTTGTGGCTGGGTACTTTTGAAAAGCCATCTGATGGCTACCAGACTCGAATGCTGCACCATCATGTAGTCCATGGGTTTGGCAAGGAGTATAAGCCCGTGACGAGTCTGGGCACAGAGTGGAACTTTTATATGTAAAAAAGAACTGTTTTCTTTCCCCTTCCTTTTTTTAAATTGCTCTGCTATGAACAAAACACAATCAAATGTTTGACAGAGGCTCTGAAGCCTGCAATCTCAATCAGGAGGCTGCCAACAGGTTCCAGGGAACAACCACCAGCTCCTTTGCTTTAGACCACGACAGCAAAGGTGTCTCCAATCAGTTCTCTGTTGTAACGGGTTCATGGTTTGGAAAAGGACAAGAAGGACCAATTATGGGAAAATTCACAGATCCAGGGGGAGGGGGAAGAGGAGCAGGTGAAGGAGACAGATTTCAGGGAGGTGGGCAAGACACTTTTCTTGAAGGAACAGAATGAGTTGAAATGAAAATCATTTAAAAATCAGTACAATTAAAGGGCACATATCTGAACATACCACTTGGTTTTTCCAAGTGTACTTTTAATAATCTGCGTAAAAATTCCACCCCCCCCCACCAATTTCCCTCTAAATTCTGAGATTTGTGGGAGGGAAATCAGCAAAGGTTTCTTTCTGCTCTGGTTATCATTGTCTATCTAGCACCTAAATACCTAGGTCACGATTGCTCAGAACTGCCAATTTCTTAATATCTTGTTGGTATTCAGGCTGTGTCCGGGCAGTGAACTTACCATGCAGGGCTGCAACACCCTCAAGTATACAGTGTAGCTGCTCCCATTCAGCACCATGGGCATGCTAATCGGTACCATCACTCAGCACTGCTAATTAGCCCATCCACGGTGCCATGCATGTGCCTACAGGGCTTGCAGTTTAGGACGCAGCTAGCATGAAGCAGCACAGAGTGCTTGCTGGTTCAGTGTCAAGCATATTAAATTTACTGCCCAGACCTGGCCTTGGATGTCTAGAAAGGAGTGAACTATTCCAGAAATGGTGTCACGAGAGATTGACAGTAAAAGACTACTGCCTCCTTGCTCTGTGACTTGATATCTCTTTGTGCACCACCCAAAAATCACTGTGGTTTCTTTCACCTCTATCAAACCTCTACATCATTTCTCCCAAATCATTAACTGACATATGTAAAGAATGGAGTTGGAGAGTCTCTGAAGACAGGTATTATATAAGAACCAAATATTACCTCATATGCATCCTTGATACATGGAAAAGCTACTCCAACCTGAGGATTCGATCTTCTATCATAAGCATAACGCACAATGGCAACCATGTCCAATTCCTCCAAAGCATGAACTAGGGCAGAAAACGCAACAGCTGCAGCCTGCAAAGAAAGAGCCGTGAAGTCAGATGAGCCCTTGTTAAAGCACAGTCAAATACGGCTCCTGAACCCAACAGCGCTGGGGAAGACTAGGACATTTCCAATCTTAGTCAACCTTCTTGACTTGATCTCCTCCAAAAAGCAAAGCAATCAGTTCAATTCCAATCAAGTCATAAGGACAGATGCATCCCAAGCTGGTCTGGCCTTCAGCTCCTGTAAAAATCACCATTTCACATAAAAATGGAAGAGGCCTAGAGGAAATACAGGAGTAATAGAAAGGAAGGAAGGAAGGAAAAATGGGCCCTTCAGGGAATGTTTCACAGCTTTGGTTTTGAAGTTTATGCCCTCATGTTGAGAACAGACCCAGATTTTATTTCGACCTGTAGTAGAGAAGGGGCAGGGGTATTTCAGCTTCCCTGTTCCCTTGACTCAGAGGAAGAACTATAAAATGACCATTAAGAAAACTGTGGGCTCCACACGCAGAGTCAGAGAATTTGTTTGAACCAAGCTGGGGAGTTCTGGCTCCTTTTCGTGATCTCTCGCATCCGAGCTATTTCGTTCTCAATCCTGTGACAGCAAAAGTGTCACTGTTGGACTGGAGCCGTTCATGATGAGATGACTCATCCTCTTATATGGCTGCTCATGTTGAGGGAACTTGTCTGGAGGTTGGAGTCAGGTTAACAAGACTGGTGTCCATTTAGATCATGCCCTACCCCCAAGGAAAGCTGTATGTCAGACCTGGTTCAGGAGGGCTTTCCCCTATATAATTCATGTAGGTTATATCCTTGTTAATCAGGTGATGACCTAATCATGCTCCCAACAGGCTCCCTCGACTTCAAGGCTGGATTACTATAATTCTCTTTTCACTGAGCTGATCTACTCTTCACAGCTTGTTCGGGATACGGCAGCACGACTGCTGATGGCTGTCTGCTGTCACGACCATATTGAGCCGGCTTTGCATTCTTTACACCGGGTGTCTCTTTTGCGGTAGAGTCTGTTGAAATTAGCCTTGTTAGCCTGTAAAGGCCCTGATTATAATCAAGTCCCCTTTCTAGAGCCCACACCTAGGGAATTTGGGGCAGTTACATGCTACCTGGCGTTTAGGGCTCCAACCTTGCACCTGAAGGTAGCAGGTGATTGAATTTAGCTGCAGCAGTGCAGAGCTTTCTCCTGCCTGTCCCCCACCCCTCCAAATCCATCGTTTTAAAATACCATCCCCTTCCTCACTTTGTCACTTGTTTTCTATTGCTTTGGTTTACTCATCTCAGGGTAATTTTGTTGAGATTAGGCTAATTTTAGTTAATACATTGCTTGTGACAGTTGTTCAGCATATGAAAACTTGCAGAAAAGTGCATCAGAAACAAAGTTATTTAAAACATTACTATTTTGGGTTATGGGAAGGTATTTTGCTTTTTGTTTCTTACAATCATTCACCCTTGAGGAATGCATCTAACTGAATCTGCTTGTATTTTAATTCTACTAAATCTTACGTCAGCCTGCCACGTTTCACACTAAAAAAAAAAAAAAGGACAGCTTTCTAATCAATGAGATACAATAATCAAGAATCAGAGGCTCATGCCCACACTTAGAAACACAGTAAATATATTCTACTTGCAGCCTTCTTAATTATAAGTAGACAAAGTAATATTTTACAAGATTTTAAATTTGGATGAGACGCAGGCTATTCACTTTGGTTTCAATCCAGTTTCCACTGACATCAGTGGGAGTTGGGACTTTTTAAAATTATGTTATGAAGAGTATGTTTATTAGTTGAAAAAAGACCTTTCAAACTTTGAGGTCACCGTCATTACCATTAACTTCAGTTTATAGTGAAACATAAAACTTTCATCTCACCTCATCATCTTTTGCTGCAAAGACCTTTAGAACCTGGCTGCCCATATAATGATGTCTCCGAATCTACCAATTCAAATTTCCAAAAGGGTTAGTTGCATTTTTAATTGTAATAAATAATATATATAATAAGCAATAAATAGTGGCATACGCTGGCATACGTTACATCTCCAAGAAAGAGATGCCAAAGTGACTATAGCATTGAAGGCCCTTCTGGTTCAGACAAATCCTGAGATAGAGACAAAGTTCAGCATTCACATCCTACACCATATTTCTTATCACATCTGAGCTCAAACTTGGATTGTCAAATATTTCAGTTATTTCCATATGTATGAATGAGAAAATTATAAATGAAACATTGGTCTCACGGAACATGTCTTTTTACGAAGACATCTACAGGTTATCTATATGTATTATTAATCTTCGTTAGAAACATCAGGAAAGGCTGAAGCCACTCTGGTACAACTGGTTCCGTACTTTTTGGTAAAATGATCTATTCCTGCGACTGACTTGTAGACAACAAGGCTGCAGAATCCCTGCACCCCCAGATAAGCCGCCCATGGCTCCAACCCGTGCCCCACCCTACCCCAGCAGGGCAGCGCCTGCTCCTGTCCCTGCCCCAGCACCATTCCCTCTCTCACCGTGGGAGCCTCAATCTGCACTCCCCATGCCTTTCCTTCCCCAGAAGACTTACCCACCAGACGCTGCTCTCCAAGCTACCGGGCTGCATATAGGCAATCAGATCAGTATCAGCTGATGCAGCTGGTTAATAATCAGCCAGCAGTATCGGCCAAAAAACTCTTTATCGGTGCACGCCTAATAAATATCTGGATACATGTGTCATGACATTCCTTTATTTGCCTAATAATGCACCCTCAGTGTCTTCCTAAGTTAGATTTCTTCATCTACATGGTACTGCTTATTAATAAAAAAAAAATCAAAATTTTATATAATGTATGGCCTTATGATCTTCTTTCCTGAGGGATGCAAGTAACTGAAAAAGCAGCTCCAGTATACTGAGAAAAATAACATGAGATAGTTTTATTCCCTCTTTAATTATGTATTTGGATCTGCTCCAGTTTCTGTGGTTAATAATAAATTATCTTTTCTCGAATGTTTTCTTTTTACAAACAATATAAAAATACATTTGAATAATGTTAGGAGGATAACTCTGAGCAGCAAACATCAGGAAAAGAGCAAAAGGTTGCATTTCCCAGTCTTTGCTTCTTGACATTTTATCTATTCAATAGAGCTGTGCTATTCTACTAAGCGCAGTACAATAAGCAACGGACTTATTTTATCCTGGGCATGTTGGTTTGACCAGTGCGCATGTTATCGTCACAGAACATGAGCTCCCCTGGCAGAAAAGTTGCCTTCTTTAGGAATGGCCAAAAATACCACCACGGTGTTGTGCCCTGTAACTATGCAAAAACATTTTTTTCTTTATTCTTTAAGGGATGTTGGTGTGTGTTAAAAGCCTTCCCACTTTGAGCATGCTTGAGCATCTATTATACTATCTCGGCAACGGTGAAAAACTGTGTCTTAGCACAAAGGTTGATTACAAAGAGAATGATGACTCTCCTAACCTATTTTCCTCTGGTGGTTTCTTTTTATGAAGGTCAGACTTTTAGTGGAAATAAGAGATCTGCCCACTGGGTAGGAAAATGCATGTGTGGCGAGCTGTCTTACACTGTGTACTGAAGACACAAGTCAGATACAGGCTAATTTCACGCGTCTGAAAAACTCCCCTTATGCTGCTGTACAGAGACCCTGCACTCGGACACCTGTTGTACCCTTTGCTAAACCCAGCCCTTGTTTGGGGGACAGGCCCCAGCCCATTAAGGGCACTAAAAATGAGGGCCAAAATCCTGAATTGCATATCAGCTCTGAGCTCAATGTGTGTACTTTGTGAAGCGCTAGCATGATAACTTCTGGTTGGTCTGTCACATCTCCAGTCGATCACTGCGATTTACCAGCTGGGTGCCCTCATGATCAGACCACGTTACAGTAATCCAATCAAGGAGCAATTAAGGCACAGGCTATTTTAGTAGGCCCTCAGCAGACAGAAAAGGGCAAAATCTATTGGTTAATACAGATGTTTTGCTCCACTACTGTCACACATCTAGCAGCATCCAGAGGCAGTGCACCACCTACACAACGCAGGGACAAATGCCCTCAGCCAAGGGATGGCTACAACCTCTGTCAGCTGCTCCATGCATTTCCCTCTGCCCAGTAGCAACACTTCTGGCTTTCCTGATGATAGCTGATAGATAATCCTGCTACTTTTTGTTCAGGTCCCTAATTTCTCCAGGCACTGGCACATCTGGGAAGTTCAGTGAGGTGGGGAGGAAGAGTTGGCTGCCTTCTGCATGCCAGGAGCACCGTAGATTGGTACCACGATTTAGCCTAAGGGTCTCAACGATAGATGGTGAAGAAGAGGAGTGAACTAACTGGGCCCTGCAGGCCTGAAGGGGATGAGCAGATGCCCACAGCCACCCTCTGCTGCATCCTGGAAAAAGACCAGCACGCTAACTTAAAATCTGCAAGCGAACTGAACAGCTCGTTCATGTCTGCACATGTTTTTCCTCATATATTTCACTTTCAAAAAGGGCCACGAGACATCTCTTCACCCCGGCCTTCCCCAACAATCATATCCTGGCCAAGGTGTAGATAGGAAAAAACCAACCGATGTTTGGTTTCTCTTGGTGACATACTAGATCTCTCTTCTTAAGCCTCATATAGCTTTTAAATACCATGGTAACGGGTGCCAAAAAGGTCACTTCCAATAGAACAACAATATTTACATCAGAGAGAGACAGCAGATTTTTAGGAATGTATGTACCTCCTTTAACAAGAGAGATGCCATTTGTCCTCCACTTCCTACTCTGGATCCTAATTCTGAGAACTGATCATTATGTTTAAATGCTGATATTTTACCCAGGACAAGAGGAAAACTAGCTCACAAAATAAAACTGTATGGGCTTTGCAATTAAGACAATTAGTTTCCCAGAGGTTTTAAATATTGACGGGTTTCTTGTATTAGCAGTGGAGGGTGAAATGAGTTCAGATCTGCACGTGTCCGGAGTGCACTGTGCAGGCAGCTTTGCAGGGACTGGGGAAGATGGACTCTACCTTCTCCCCTCAGTGAAGGATGGGGAAGCAGGGAAGCCGCTACTTCAGCGCTGGGTTAAAATTAGGATTCTAACGTGTGTGCAACCTCTGGGAGCATCCCCATGAGTGCGTGTTTGTGTTTCCTCGGCACAAATATGTGCCACTGCTAGTTGTCCGCAGGGAATGCCCCTGCATGCACGCTCTGGCGCGTGGCAAACTGCGCCAGGTGGGGTAGGGAAGGCTGGGGCCAGTACCTGGGCCTGGGGCCCTGGGGGCTTCCCAGGACTGCAGCGGCAGCGATCCAGGCTGCTACATGTGCCACCCCACTTTTTTTCTCTGCACTTATTTTAGATACCAGGATTTTGCAGTATCTAATTTTGCCTCCACACTGCAAATATGCAGCACGGAGAACCTATTCATGTGTGCCCTCTGCATTTTGCAGCACCTCAAAAGCCTCTGAGGTGCCACAAAGTGCGTGTTCCTGCTCGTGGGGACATGGTCCCTGAACAAAAATGATTTGCAACAAATGGGTCCCTACAACCATGCGCCTGGTAGCCATGCCCACAAACTTTGCCCTTCAAAATGATGTATGCAATGCCCAGCTCTACAGGACACAGCAAACAAAGTAAATCTGCATACCTATACCTCACTGCAGCTGCCCTCCAAAGGGCACCCATTCACTGGTGGCACCTTTGTCCCTTAGTGAATTTGATTTGAAGTCAATACTTGACAGGTATCCAGAAACAAAAAGGGGAAGATAGTTAATACTGCACCAGAGACGATCTGCTGAATCCCAAAACAGAAAAACACTTTGCTTCAGTTTTGTATTTCATTTGCTCTTCATCCACTTTAGAGAAAGGAACTATATCACTCCCATAGCGGAACCCTGGAGAACAAGAGAAGAGCATCTGGTAAGCATATGGGCCTATATTTCTTACACTGCAATTAGCTCTCTGCATATTTTAACAATGCATGCACGCCCCACAGCTATACTCTGTACACCGCACTCGGAAATTTACATCAAATTACTTTTTCCTGTTAACAAAAAAAACCACACACCCCATAGACACATTTTGCAGATCATAAACAGCAGTTACGCTCCTTGTGCACTGCTTTGCATAATGTAGTTACCTTAGCAGATACCAGGATAGCAAAAAAAGAAAAGTGAACACCCTGCCCAGCGAGTTATACTCATAAAACAGGACTCAGGGAGCAGGCTGCAAGCGCTCCTTGCAAACAGAGCGGCAAGAAAGCAACACAAATCAAGAGGAGATTAATTACAGAAAGGAATCCACAAGAGATCCAGGAAACAGACTGCCATAAGGATAGATGCCACATGAAAAACCCAAGTTCTTCTACACAGAGACCAATCCATTGATGCAAGACAGTGGTGCTTGACCTATACAGCCCTGTGGGATGGAGGAGTAGCACAGGTGCAACGAGTGGTCTGCAGCCGGATCCAGGTGCAATCCAGCACGACCCCACAGGCTGGACATGGCCACGATGTGACCCTGAACACCAATCCTGCATGCTGCATCCAGCCATGGAACAACCACGCACTGGCACGATTTGGCACATGGAAACATGGGGCTCCTCAAGGGCCTGGAAATTGGATGGCAGGGGAGTGGTGGCAGCATTAAGTGCTGGGGCTCTGAGATAAATTATTAACACTGCTACCACTCCCCCACTGCCAAATTTCCGGACCCAGGGGGAGACCCCTGTGCAAGATGACAGAGCTTTGCAGGCGGCAGGTTGAGCACCACTGATCTAGTGAATATTTCTGTATAAGCCTCCTTTGCACTCTATTAGTAGGAGTATTTACATGAGATCAGAAATTTTGTTTCCCAGGTGTATCACCTGCTCTCAACGCTTATTCTGCACCTGACACTATAATGTTCTGCCTAGCACATCACAGTCAGGGGCGGTGCAGCTGACTTTGCTGCCAGAAACTGGAGATGATGTCTTCAAGCGGGTTGTACAAACAGGAGCAGAGGAATGAGGCAGAATGAAAGACTTGTTTTCAGACAAGTTCTCTAAACAGAAGACTCCTCAAAAATCTCTGAGAGCAATCAGCAGCTCTTTCACGGGATCTGAATGCCAGGGCATCCAATGAAGATCTCTGGTCCCACTGGCTCACTTTGATATCAAAATCAAATATAAATTGCAAGTGCTTAATACTACTTTTGCCTGGAGAAAGTACCTGATGGGCATTCACAGACTCGGGTGATCAGGACTTTGGCAAAGGGAGAACAGAAATACTTCAGGAAGAAGGCAGGCAGCTCTGTGCTGAGGAGAGAGGGATGAGAGTTTCATCCCATTACATTATGGTTCGTTGCTGTGAACACTGTTGATTCCTAGCCTCTTTCTAAGAAGCCTATTGAGGTGAACCACAGGATACCAGCTTGCGAGATGCAACCTCACTGTTACATGGGAGATTAGATGAGACCAGTGGCTATTTCACTGCCATGAGATCCTTTTAAGGGTGCCTGAGGGGTGCAACACAATACTAACACCCACACATGAGTCACAAGATAAATTCAGAGATTTCAAATGGACTCCTCCATGTCAACACCATTCTGCCCTGTTGGGTCTTTCTGAGTTCTCTGCAACAGAAGAATGGCTTCATCAATTTTTTGTAGTAAAAAAAAAAAAGAGAAAAGTTTTTGAAATGGGGTGCCAGTGAATTCAGAAAAATTGTGGAGAAGTGCCTTAAGTCTGAAAAGGTTGAGGATCACTGGACTAGAGAATCAACACAATCTGTTCTGTCTTTAAAATGATGAACCAACCCCCCCCGCAGATACACCACTTAAGTAGGAAGTGAGTCTGAATCCATGTAAAACACCATCTAAGAAAAAGCACTATCAAAGGCAAATTTACCTCCCCTCTACTAAATATATGTGGACAGATCCATAATATTGAAGGCCCAATCATGCTCTCACTGAAGTCACAAAAATTACACATTCATCTGAAACACATATAGGCATATAAAAGGAACTAGAAAACTTCTCCAAATGTTCTGGATTTAGGGTGATGCATCAGTACAAATTCAATTTAACTGATGAATTCAACGAGAACCCTACCTAGCATATCTGTTTTATAAGAAAAAACATTTTTAAAAGTTATGAAAGCTAGAGAAAGGAACACTGAATTAATGTTACTTATTAACTTGCTCCTAACAACATTATTTTTGCTTACAAAGACAAAAATCAATGCACACATAAACCTAGTGTCTGAATAGTCTTACCTGCTATCGATTGCCAAGGTTGAAAAAGACAAAAGTGATATTTTGCTCTTTTTTTAATCTAGTTTCTGCATTTGACAGCACTTTCTATATATTCATTTATATTATGTCCCTTGTATAGTTAATCAATTTACACATTTGTCTGAGTCTTTCAAACACAAACAAGGGGAATAAAACATTTTAAGAAAGCAGCAAAATGTGACTGTACAACCGAAAACATTTACAGTGAAACTCAGAGGCCTGAAACAATTTCAATTCAATTGTTTTAAAAAACAGACGGTATATTAAATTCCTTTATTGATATAAGGAATTATCACTATTGTAGGAGAAACTGAATGTTGCAAAATAAGAATCTATTCACTTTGAACATTTTGCCATCTACCACTTTAAAGAAAATCTCCTTCGAGTCTAAATATTAAAGCTAATTCCAAGCACTCTCATGGTAGGAAGCACATGCGACAGGTTGTCTCCTGGACACCAACCCTTCCTTTCACGGTCACAGTGACTGCCTCCTCTCCCATTGCTAATGCACATTACCATTAGCATTTGATAGAGTTTAGCTGTATTTTGATCTGGTTTCACAGATGGAAACAAAACGGAGAGGCAGCCTGAGCACCACACGAGCAAGGTCGGCACAGACCACAGACTGGGCTACCTTCTAGTTCTCACCCAGCGTCATTATTTCTGCTAGTGTCACAAACGGGCGTTTTCCACACCTGTATGGCACAAGAGTTGTGCACAAGAGTTTACAGCCTGGGGCCAAAGTCAGACTCGTGCATCCTAAATTAATATTTAGCCATCTAAGGATGAGATTTTCAAAAGCATGGAGATGTCTTTGGAACCGAGTGCTAACATTTTGGCTTAAATACCTTCAGAGAATAAATACAGAAGCAGTCATACCTTGAATAATGTCTTCTTTCTGAATTTCTGTTTCATCATCATCATTCAAACAGTAAACAGTTTCTCTTTGAATATCATCTTTTTTCAGGGTCTTGGCATCCACAGCTGTCCAGGATTTTTTCACCTTTTCCTCTGTGACCTTTGTGCCAATATTAAAAAGAAGAAAGAATGTTTAAATCCATTTGGGACTGAGCCCTGACCTCAATGTGAGAACCAGATCCTAGGACCTTTTCCCTGAACCAAGCACTGGGTGAGCCTTACCAGTAAAATAATCCTGAACACCTGAAACAAGCAACTGTGCTGTGGCCAAATGACTGTGGGAATTTCTGCTTCAGCTACTCTTGAAGGTGGTGGGACAAACAATGAACCTGAAGTCATCCGTTTAATCGCAAATTAAACTTTATTTAAGTACTCCCCATTTTGCCCTGGCACTCAGGCAATGGGATACCCACAAGTTAAAAGAAGGATGCATTTCAAGCCGAGGCAGCCTACCTTCCCAGTCACTGATACCCCACCTGCTGTATTAACTGAGAGCAGCAGAAAATGGCCCATTCTATTATGAGTCTTCAAAAAGGCAGAAACAAGATGCAAATGATATGACGAGACCCATAAAGGATAGGAGTAAATGCTTTGTACTAAGCAAGCTTTGCTGGCTAACCAGACAACTCCCGTAACTCCCTGCCTTGTAAACAATAGATAGGCAATGATATATCTCAGTGATGGCACGGAGGACAGAGTGGGAGTTGGCCGTGTTAGTCTAAAGCAGGGGTGGGCAAAATGCAGCCCGCCAGGCCATTCTATCTGGCCTGTGGGGACCCTAAAAAATTTAGAAAATTAATATATATCTGCCCCTGGCTGCCTGTCATGCGGTCCTCGCTGGCTTGCCAAAACTCAGTAAGCGGCCCTCTGCCCGAAACAATTGCCCGCCCCGGTCTGAAGTCAGAGAGAAGGCAGGGCAGACTGGGACCATACAACAATGGGTCTCAAGTTTGTTAGACTCAAGACCACCCAAAACACTAAAAGAAAAACACAGCCAAGTTTCACCAAATGAAAAAAGGGGGAAAATACTCAAATAGTCTTTTACGTTACAATAACCATACATGTGACTGGCAACAACAGGTAAAACAGGCATATTCAGAAGCATACTTTCAAGTTGATGATACTATTATTACTTCCTCCCGCCTCTCAAAAACATACTTCCTCTCCCACAATACTGAGGATTTAGGAAAACATTCAGCTTCATTAATTTCTGAGCATTTTGCTGACAGCCAACTGGAAAGGTCCATGTGAGTGCGGCGTGCTAAATCGGGCTCATAAACTTTAATACAATTAAGCGTCATATTGTGGGTAGGAATTACTTTCTTTTTTTGTATGTTGTTAACTTTAGCGCTTTAACATATGTGTATAATATGGTGAAGTTATAGTTGCTGTGGGAACCGTAACTTTACATTTACTGACTTTTCCACATGCAAAATATGCCCCATAGTGTTTTCTTAATGTAGCTTTACCTATTGAATTTCCTCAGCTTGCTTTAAAAAATGTAGGTGAATCTGACTGTATTACTGCCAAGGTACACTTAAATATGTGATTTGAGTAACTTACTGATTTGTAGGCCACAATCCTTATGGACAGATTAGAACCTATAGTGAGCTGGCAGGGCCAAGCCATAGGTCTTCTTTCAATTTTCTTAAACATTGAAAGACGCTCCAGGCTGTCTCTAAATTAAAGAATCAAGAAAACAGAGATGAACTCTTTGATGAACTGCAGTAAAACATTGCAGAAGATGGAGTCTCTCCAGGGAGGTGATGAAGCCCAACTGTTTTGGTCTCAGTTTCTTGGCGCACTACAAAAAAATGATATACAATAATCCAGCTACTAACCTCAATAGAAAAGGTGCAGAGAATGGAGGAGATGTGACCTAATAGGTCTCTTCCATTTCAAATTTCTATGATCCTAGGACATTAGGCTTAAAGACGGTGCTTGTGGGGAGCGAGAAATTGCACGGCCACTTAAGAAGCATTTTGCAATGAGCTACATTTATCCAATTAAGTCACTTAGCTAGCTGAATAGCCCAAATGCAAAAAGGCACCTCTCAGTGGTGAGATGCTTTTCTGGACTGGAGGTGGGAAAATAGATTCCTGCTTCAATTAGCATTATTTTGTTTGTCTGGTAATTAACAGTCTTCACATTTTTAATTAGGTACTAATGAACACCCATTATTTTCGTAAAGCAGTTAGGAGAAAAGCAGCTGCTCTGAATATATCCAACGCAAACAGCACATCAAATTTTTTCATAAAGCAAAAGATAACTTGAAAGGAATATATATTAAAATGAAAAAAATATGAATATATCATAGAATATATATAAACAAGTACCCAAAATTTTTTAAAAACCCCTTAGAAATGTAAGGTTGAAAACACTCAACTGAGGGAATGTTTATGATCCTCTAGCCTGTATGTGATCAGAAAGGATGTTTGTACAGCCGGGTCTCTCATATGCATTAGCTTTCTTGCTGTAAAATCCTGGTAGAGTTCAAATGTGAGCAGTGTAATGAGGCAGAGTCAAACAGGGATGAAGGTTATGGTGTCTACCTCACACAGCTATACCACGGGAAAAACTATCTAGACCTTGTCTCCACCAAGACATTGCAGTGGATAAATAACAAGTATCATTTCTCTCTTTGGAGGGGGGAAACTCCATAAACTTTCTGGCTGTGAAGACACAGACACGTTATTGCACAAGAAAAGGAGAGACAGAAATAGCATTTAATGCAAAATTGCAGGTGTCTTTAAGAACCTGACTATATAATTATTTCACTGTAAACCCTCAAGGGGCAGAGTTAAAGTTCTGCATCTAAAGTCGGCTTTCATATTTCTTGACTTCTCAGTCCTTAAGGTGGAATTCATTCTACCTTCATTTTGCATTACCTGTGTTCTTTAGCTTTAATTTCCTACATCTTTTTGAAGAAAAATAACCTACCTGCCCAACAGGACTCTGTCAATGAAGGCCAAGTTCATTAGCATACCTTGTGCTTATAAATTTAGCAACACTGGTAAGCTAATAATTATCTGAATGCTGTAATATGCATATGCCCATAACTGAACATGTATATACTAAAATATACTGCCTTATTTATATGCAAGCTTAAGTGCTTCTTATCCTAAAGCCAGATTTTAAACCTCCTCACTGTGTCTATTTGGCTTTTTCCCCCATTTAATTTAATATTGATCCCTAAAACAAAATTATAAAATGTTATTTGCTCACTAGCTGGGGTGACTAATTGAGTTTCATGGAGAATTAGAATATTTTATCAGCAGCACAGTAAAAGGAGGAAAGTATGCTTTGTATCTGGGTTGGCACATTTTCACAACAGATTTGCAAGCCTGCCTTCTTAAAGCTGGAAAATAATTTAAACCAATCTAAAGCCTCATGTGTGGCTCTTAAACAACTTACATTGCATTACAGCTTTAATTTGTTAGCCAAATCTGCATTGAACCACAGATTTCAGATCTACCCTCTAACTACAGCAAACAGGGCTGCACTGTATTTACAGACAATGATAGGGAGAGAATATATAAAGAAAGGTTCAATACATGCAGGCAGCTTCATGCATTTGAACTGTCTTAAAGCAGGATGTCAAACTTATGGCCCATGGGCCGGACCAGATCCGTAGAGCTGTGTGGTCTGGCCCGTGGGTCACCGAACTGGCCCCATGCACTGCAAGCAGCACAGGGGTCACTCCGGGGCACAGCATGCTGCCCGCGTCCCAGATGGCCGGTGCCACATGCAGCACCAGATCCAGTCCACGTGCCCTAGGAAGTGTGCACCCCATGATGGCCTCAGGGTCCACATGCACAGTGAGCCCAGGGGCCAGTGCACGCTGCCCTCGGCACTCAGGGCTGGACTGCAGGCAGCATCGGGGGCAGTCCATGGCACATGCTGCATGTGGCAGCCCACTGGACCTGCTCTATATGCTGGCTCTGGGGGTGGTCCAGACTGGGACATGCCAGAGCTAGTGCACAGTGCCAGTCTGGCAGGACACCGCATGGAGCTCACACCTATTCTGAACCGGCTCCCTGTGCCGCCTGCAGTACAAGGTCCAGCCCGTGTGCTGTGGGCAGCATGCGCCATGTCCATCCAGGAAGCTGACATATGCTGCATGTGGTGCGTGGGCTGGACCCGGGGCTGCAGGCACTACACAGTAGGGACAGCTGTGGTCTGGCCTGCAGAGCTTGACACCCCTGTGTTAAAAGAAAACCATGCTCAGAAAGATCCTGTTTTCCATTTGGCCTTGTGGAGCAGTGACCGAGCCTCTAGACAGTCACCACAGCCAAATAATATCAACCGATGGGCTGAGCAGGGTGAGAGGAAGACCGACCCACCAAAGAGAGATGAATAACAGCATATAAAGCTCAAGCTACCAACTCCATCACTGCTACCACGCACACTGCAACTAAAATAGGACATTTGCCATTCCAGTTATGATGCACTAATCTCATTGAAAATGTCTTTCTTAAGACTTTACACTCCATAATTACAGTAATGAAACTACAGGCTGCATGAGAGAGTGATCCATATGTTATTAAGATTAGGACTTTTTATAAGGTACAGTTTCCTTGGGAGTGAATACTACAGGCAGTTTGCTCCAGGTTTAAAGCACCTGTGGGAAAAGCACCTCAGATATATCATTAGCAGTAATGTTTCAAAGACATGCATACATTTTTATTGCTTCACTGTGGAGACACCAAATGCAGAGCAATCTTTCAATCCTTGCATTAGGAATACTACTAAGACAGGCTATTGTTAAAAACAATGGCACAGTAGTTTGCTATTAAAACATGGGCTTCAAGAAGCAAAATCAGTCACAATCTGTCTGTGGGAGCTTAATCGCTAGCTGATCTGCAACCAGTGTGAGAACAGGGAGCCAGGACTACCATTACCTGCAAATGTTTTGTATGCACTGCACATATATTCTGAGTCTTTTAAATATCACATATCCACTATGATTTTGAAGGCTCATTTACAGAAATGCCTCTCTTAAAACATGGTGCAGAACAAAAGGTGAAGGGAAAATGGTGATATTTATAAAGGAAAATTCATTTCCTATTGAAGCTTATAATTCTGTTGCTTGTTTTTTGCACTAAAGCCGCTGGAGAGCTGGCTGAAAAAGCTGCTTGAAAGGGGCTGAATGTGCAACAAGTTACACAAATGTTTGGGGGGAGGGGGGATTTGCCAACTGGAAAATAGTGCTGCATTAGAAATGTACCTCCCAGGCCCTGAAAAGGGAGTATTCCAGATTACCTGAAAGTGTAAATTTCATCCAGGCCTCCTTCTTCCTCCAAAGCAAACATCAATTTCTGCACCACACGGATACCTGCTTTCTGCTGCTCAGTTAATCCTTTCCTTGGAAAAGAGCTTCTGCGCGTATCAGAACGTGGGCTGTCACCCATAGCCCCACTTTCATCCTCATCCGTCACCACTGGAAATGGCAAGCTATGAATACAATTAGAAGCTGTAAATTTGTTTTGCTCATTAACTAAAAAAAACCCAACCAGCTGCATGATTAAACAAAAAAAAGATGGAAATTGCATCTGGAATGATTCCTGCCATCTAGCTTCTGTCTAATGCTATTTCAAATGTCACTTTGAAGCCCCAACAAAAGCGACCCTCCCAGACTCCTGTTCACGATGCTGCTATTACTCATTCCTGCAGTAACTGTTGTTCTGAGCAGGATTTTAATCGCCTGCAATATCTGGTGAATTTATGAATAAAGTTAACATTTCTCTTGCATGGTATGAGTCTGCGTTAGAGTTTAACGAGGGCGTCCAGACAAAATGATTTTTGCTCTACCTCAAACTGTGCCGTTAGGTTAATTAAGTACTGAATGGCCATAGAAGAAAAAGGCCTATTAGGTCATCTCCCTGTATATGCTCTACTGTTTTGTCTAGCCCAGTTACAAATGACTCAAGCAATGACTTTTCAACACTGTTCCACACCTGAAAAGATCACAAGCCTTCTCGAATATTCCGGGTATTCCAGCTGCATTTTTCATGGCTTATTTTCACCCCAGTACTCCTTGTGAAAATTCACACGTGCAAAGCTACCTCCTTGTCCTCCTCCAAACCCACCCTTTCCACAAAGCATATCAAAAACCCACACCAAGGATTAGGCCGCTGGTGTGTACAGACTGCTGCTCGTCATGCTAGCTAATATGATCCTGTCGTTTCCTTGTGCTCCGTGACCGTATCCAACGGTTGCCTTTTGGTAGGTACATATGCTCTGCACTTGCGGGAGCAGCACGTGCCAAAGGAGCATGTCATGTAAGGTGGCAGTAATGCAAAGACAATGCGGGGTGATTTCCATACTTACAAGAACTGTAGCGAGATTCCTGTTTTCTTCAAGTTGGCAATGATAACCTCAAGAAGATCCTCACTGAAGGGACTGCTGAGGTCTGTAAACACCTCGATGTGCTGTTTGTCATATTTCTTTCCTCTGAGAAAACACAAACAAAAGATTTCCAGAGATAAAATATCCTGTTGGATCATCTTCTGAGCCCTTATTTGCAAAGCTGTAAAAGGTATCCCTAATAAACTTTAGAGCAGAACCAACACTTGGTAACCAAAATCTCCACCGCAAACAAGATTTGCTGCCCTTAAGTATAAGAATATATCGAATCAATACGGCTTCCTCTTTACTATTGTTTTTGTTGCTTTGCCCTTTTCCTGACATTTTCCCCCAAATGAACTGAGGTGCTGATCCTGAGCTGCCTTAGCAATATTGGAGTAAATGCAAGGATCTCAGATCACACCAGTGAAAATCTGGTACTCAGCATTTAGTAAAAGTCCTGACTGATTCCACTTCAGGAACAAACTGATGTTGGACTCTACCTAGGTGGGTACTGGGGGGACCTTCCATTCCCGTTAAAATAATCTGGCTGAATAAGGTAGCCTTTTAATTGTGTAAGCACGGCTACACATACTACTTTCATAGTAAGGCTCAGGTTTTCTTATGCAGTTTTAGGAATAAGGTAGACGAGCTCTTGTATGGGATGGTTTAGATAAGGATGATCCTGCCTTAGGAAGGGGGGTGGACTACATGTGAGCTCCTTAGGTCCCTTCCAGCCTGACTTTTCTATGATTCCTGAAAGTGAAGATTAGCTAGAATGCTCCAATTAAATGCACAAATTTCATCCCTGGCGGCTGGCTGCAAGGAGCTCTCCCAGGAACGTACTGCAATCAAGCCCCAGCATACAGCCCTGAAGGGGACTCTGTAAAGTCAGCAGCTGGAAACATTACCACTTCCACCCAAACTGTAAGAACAGCAATTACACAAGAACAAACACAAAGTATGAAAACTAAGACAAATGACCTTTTTTTTTTTATTTAAACGCTTTCCAAAACAACAAACACTAAAGTGTAGCTCTCCCTTCATACTACAGGAGTGGTTCTCAGCCTTTTTAGACTCAAGGCACCCCTCATTAGATTTAAGGTACCCCTACAAATATGCCAGCATTTAGCTTTCACTCCTTTTTTCACTATAGAAAAATAAATCAGCAGTTTTTTCAGCTACAAAGATCTCAGAAAGGCCACGACCGGTCACAATGTTTTTACCACTAGATTGCTTTCTTGATATGCTCTGGGTTTACCTTGTGAATCGCATCTACACATCTAAGAGCTCTAACATCATGTGGCAACCCATGGCCCCCTTGGAAAGGTGTTAAGGCACCCCAGGATGTACCGGCACCCAGCTGAGAATCACTGTGCTAGAGCATTTGCACACAGACTTATACTGGCATAACTCTATTGGTTTAATGCAGGGGTGAGTAAAATAAGGCCCATGGGCCAGATCTGGCCAATGGAGACATTTTACCTGGCCCATGGTGGGTCCCTTAGCCCTGCCTGGCCCAGACACGGAGCAATCCAGGCCATGGTGTGTGCTCGGACATGCAATGGCGCTGGAGCGGCGCAGCTGTCGGACTCACCTTCCTGTCAGTGGCTCCTTCTGGCTGCTGCCAAACCCAGCCCTGCTGCCCAGGCACCCTGGCCTGTCTGCCCTGCACCCACAGCCGGGGGTGAGACCCACACAGGCAGGGTGCTTGGCTGGGCAGCTAGGACGGGGCTGCAGGCTGGCCAGAAGAGGTGCTCGAGGGCAGGACGAGCAGCTGGGGCTGGGGAGACCCAAGGATCTTGGGGAGGTCTGGGGCAGAGCCACAGTGCACTCAGCACACATCCTTGCCCCCAGAACCGGGGCTCTGCCAGGCGGACGTGATCAAAGTGCCCAGCCCACGCAGCACGTGGCCAGTCTCCTGGGACCCCAGATCTTGGGGAGTGACAGCACAGAGCCGGGCTGGGGAAAACCATGATCTGCTCCCTGCGTGTCCCTGCTCACAGAACCTGTGCCCGTCGCAGGGACACATGGGCAGAACACAGCTCTGCCCTGAGCCTGAACCCACATTCTCACTGCCCCGCAACCCAGCCCTCGGATCCCAGCCTTGCCCACCCCTCCCGGTCCTGAATGGCACCAGCCTCCTGCGGCCCCATCCCACATAGGGAGTTTTGGTGAGTTGTTGCACAGGGGTGGGTACTCACCTGGCTCACCACACCTCACCAAAACTCCCTATGTGGCCCACAGGCCCAAATAATCACTCACCCCTGTTCAAACAAACTTGAGTTGCCAAGTACAGGTGGTGGGGCTTTACCGAGTGTCGCACGTTTTGCAGAAACTGCTCACACATATGCTCCTATCCCACAGTATGTGAAAGCAGACCTGCAGCGGCTTACCCCTTTTACTGAGGGCTAAACTGCGTGTGATAGCTTTCACTTACCAGGGGTAATAGCACACACATGGGCAATTAACTTAGAGCGGCTGATGTGCTGGAAAGCCCTTTACCTCAGGGTAACTTGTCTGTTTGCCCAAGCCCTTCTTAGTTTATACTGATATGATTTTCCATGCAGACAGGCTCTTCTGTTCATAGGAACACAGACCTGGAAAGGATCTCTTCGGTCATTAAGACCAGGCCTTTTTTGCTACTGGCACCCCCATAAACAGATCAAACTTCATCTAAAAACTAACTACGGCTTTCTTTGTTTTTTTGCCTCCACTTTTCTGCCTGTAACCTCAGTGCTCTGCTGCGCAGAAATCATCTTTCACTTTCCAGCTTAAATCCATTCATGACCAATATATACCCATTTGGTTTCGTGCCAACATTGCCCTTTAGCTCAAGTAGTTTTTATCCTTGCAAGGTGTTTACTCCAATGTTTGCACAGGCACAATCACATCCCTCTCTCAGGCTTTGCTCTGCTAGGCTGCACAGAGCAAGCTCTTCTAGTTCCCACCTACTCATCATCTTAGCTAACCTTTTTTCCACCTCTTCAAAGATGTATTAATTTATTATGAACCCTGGTGACCAGCATTGCACACAGTTTTCCAGATGAAGTTTTATCTGTGCCTAGCACAATCCCATGAACACATCCCTCTGTTCACTACAACTCCTCAGCTGATACACTCGGGTTTTCTTTAATTCTTTGAGAGGCAGGGACTCACCTATAAGTTCTTTTGGAAACTTATTATCATGGTACGGTTTTTTTTAAAAAGCAGCATTTTCTCTATTCACACAGTGTTGCTGTATTAAAGAGAAGTCAGGTCAGCTTTGAAGATCCCACCAGACCTCTTCTATAAATGATCCTAGGCGACAGTACTTACACTGTTTCATTCTGCAGCAAGTCCATGCACACCACAAGCGCATCCAAGACTAAGTGCGTTAAAGAAAAAGCATGCTTGGAATAAGACTGTTATAAATGCTCTGTCTTTCCCATGTTATAGCTCTTAATTTTAGCAATTCAAACAGTTTGTGCTGACAAGTTATTTTTAATCACACATATTTTAATTTCCCAATATCCTCCCTGTGGAGAGCCTCCTGTTAATACCAGCTTCGGCCTTACCACCTTAAGTGAAAAGACTGTTTCAAGGACCCAATTATGCGATTGTCAATATAAAAATTCAAACAGGGGTAGGATTGGGCCCAATAAAGTGTATTTAGAGTTAATACCATACTAATGTATGGTACGCAGGTGTTGCCGTGGACGTAGTCTTTCTAGACTTCAGCAAGGCCTTTGACACCGTCTCCCACCCCATCCTCATTAAAAAACTAGGCGACTGTGGCATTGATGCCTACACAGTCAG